GCTTTTCTGTACAAAAAGCTCTTTGTGTCAACGCTGTGGTTGCTGCAGGTCAAAAAGGTTTATATCATCGGAAAGAGGAGACTCTGAGCTTTCATTTGATGTGTATATTGTCGGGAAACGTGATTGTGGAGCGAGCACATCTGGCTGTAATGTTTTTGGAAAGTGGTCACGTCCCGTCGGCGGGCCGTGGGAGCGGTAACGGGTTAAGCTGTTAGCTAATGCTTTGCTAGGTTGGCATAACAGCAGCGATGTTATTGCTAACATAAACAGACAGGGTGTAACTTAAGCTAGGTTAGCACAACTTTAGCAATGCAACGTAAATTAAAAATATGACAGACGCAACGAAGCACGCGTCATACGTCATGACACATGGCAAAGACAGTTAAAGTGAAACAGAAAACATGTTGAGTCATTATTAATGTCACGTCGTTATGAGCGTATCTATCAGTAGCTCCGCTTAGCCCACTCCTGTAATGTTGCCTGACTGCAGCGTACTCCTGTGCTACTGTGAAGACAGCTGTGAGGACTGAGGATTGAATGGAGTCAGAGCTCCATCTAGTGGACAGACAGTGTAATGACAGCATTTTGCACAACTGTAATACTTAACAGCATTTACTGTTTTATGAGAAAATAACCAGATGGTAAGCTGGAACACCAACATTAAATCATCTGTTCACTGTGCCATTAACAACATTTCCTGAAAATTTCATGGAAATCCATTCATAACTTTTTGAGTTATCTCGCTAACAAACAAATAAATGCCGGCTAAAACATAACCTCCTTGCCGGAGGTAATAAATGGTGCAAATGGTGCACATATTGTTAAAAGGTGGATGGAGATGGAGTAACTACCACAACCTATTGACCTTTTTTGGTATTTCTGTAATCTGTAGTCCGAGTTTGGGAAGGCATATATCTTAATATCGTACTAATTTGTGAGATTGTACCCCCATCCAAAAGTAAAAAGTTCAGGCTTAGGAGTATTTTTACTTTAAGCCCTGCATTGTGATATGACTCTTAAGAGTGCATCCACGATAGGACCAGGCGGGGGTGGCACANTTACAAAATCGGTCAAGTTTAACTTTTATTGCAAAAACACTCTCAGTCTGCTCTGCACATAAGAAAATAACTTCAATTTCAACTCCATCAGACTGCATTCTCAAATAAAAATAAAACGAAATGTGCAAACACCTTTTTAGAACAATAACAACAACAATACGTTTAATCTGGGTTAATCCTCAAAATATGAAGTGCAACCAAACAAAAACAAGTGCAGAAATTTGGCAAGAAAGATGAGGTCTTTAAATTTGTATGGATCAACTCAGTTTCACAGTACTAGTGGCTACAAAAAGTTTATTTTCTACTGCACATCATTTCAAAACAATAACAAACTGTAGTATATCTTGTATA